CAAAAATCTCAAATTTCCTTTGTTTAATCCATAAAACCTCCTAAATGCATTTCAAACGTTTTTTCTTCAGTAATAGTTTATAGTTGATCTGTTATTTTCTCTACTATATCTCAAAATGGGATTGATCAATTTGACAGATCTCGTAACCACCAAAAAATAATCGAAATAAACCTAAATTACCCTCTTTTTCTTTCTAGAATGACATCAAATTGTAACATGAAACTACATTTGTTTATCACAAGTAGCTCTAAGTTTATAACCGTACACATCGATTTATAATTAAATTTTATTGTTTTATTGCCCTTTGAACTGTGTTTAACTACTATCCGCATCATGTAAGACACTAAAACCTTGTGTCATGTGGAGTAAAGGATACCTGGAGTGATAGTGTTAAGACCTTTTTCTTCCTCCTTTTTTGCCTGTAGTGGTTGATATACCATCTTCCTGCATTTTTCCATTTCTTCTACATTCTTCTCTATCTTGATTGTGCTTTTCTCCCTAAAACTTCTGCAACATGTGTATGGAACAGTATGTTCACTCCTATATCTTGTCAAGCTATAAGCTTCTTCCCATCTCCATTTCTACATAAATCTTATTGGCTCTGATTGGGTAAGTTATATTTGTCACCTTTATTCTCACTTTAATTTTGATTGCCTACTCTGTTTTGTCTGTGCGGTCTGTTGTTATTTGGCCTGTACTGCTCCTTTTCATAGTTTCCATTCCTGTGTCATCATTCCTTGGAATCTCTCTTCCACATTCAATATTTTTCCCATTACCCTTTCTGGATGGCTTTGTCAACTCATTTGTTGGATGAGGGTGCTCATCAATGCTTCCAGGTGACTTTTTATTAAATAAACATCTTACTTTCTTCCTAGCTGCTCATTTCTATCATCTGTTGGAGAGATTTTTCAGGCTGGTATGTGGACAGCCTTTCACACTTTTGTTGCACAATATCTTCATAATCTGGCCATTTCTCCTTTGTTGGGCTACAAGCTGCTTCCAGTTGCTATTATACATACATCTTACTGGCTCTGATTGGATAGATTCTTTTGTCTTACCTTTCCAACCCCCCCCCCCCTCCTCATACCTCTGTGGATCCCATTCAGTGGCAAGTGTTGTCTGCCATGGTTTTCTTAACCTAAATCTGCACATTGTAGGGCCTTCAAGGCCTCATATAGTGCTCACTTATGAGATGGGGTGTTCAATAAGAATGCATCATTTCCTAAACAAGGCCCAATCCAGACCGTATCCTCTTAGTATTATCATTAATAAAACAGGAAAGGGATAATTGTCCATCCTCCATGTCCAAATAGGGTTTTTGTGGTTACCCATTGCACTGTCATATGGTGTTGCACTTCCTCTGGGTTCCCAACGGGCTTTCTCTCCCCCTTTTTCTTTCAGTGAAGCATGGAAGCCCTTACCACTCACCAGTTTCTAGCTGCTGGAGTGGTGGACCATGGAAGAGTATTCCTAAGTGTGACCAATTCCACTCAGTAGAGAGTAGTGTAGTGGTGTTTTTTTGGTGTAGAAGGTAGGAACCCTCCTCCTTCCTCAGACTGGATGAAAAATACCTGATGCTGGTAGGTTTTGGACTGGAATTGACCCACCATTTACAGTTCACCTCTCAGTCTGGGTTCCATAGTAGTCTAATGTTGGATATGCATTGGACCAGCCAAAATAAGTCTTCACTCATGACGATGATAGGGACCTTACTCATACCACATA